GGTGGGGGAGGGCGGCCGCGCGGGCTCGCTCTCGCGCGCAGACCCGCCTCGGCCGCGCACGCGCACTGCGCCTGCCCGGGCGGCCCCGCACGGGCAGGCGCTGCGCACCCGCCGCTGGGAAGCGCGCACGCGCACGGCCGCTCGGCGCGCACCGTGCGTGCGTCGGGGAAAGGTTCTCGCTGCGCGTGCGCGCACTTCAGCGCGGCGCGAGCGGGTTCAGGCTGCGGCCGGCTGAGGGAGGGGGACTGCGCTTGCGCGCTGCGCTGAGCCGAGCCGGGCGGGAGAGCGGCAGGGCGGAGTGTGCGCATGCGCGGAACTCACGTCACCGCCCTCTGCTGCACGGCGGGGTGGGCGTTGCTGCCGTGATGCCGTTTGCTTCTCGTGTTCCTTCTCTTGCTAATGCTCAGGTTGGAAGCAAGCAAGCAACCAAAAGCACCTGTTTCTTTCTGTCACTGCGTGTGAATCCCTGGCGGTTTTATAACGTAAATATGTTTTACGCAGGTTCTTGTAGCGTCATGTACTCTGAGTGAAGATGTTCCTAAGTACGATTTCAGGTCCAAGATGAATTTCTGTTTGAAATTACAGGGTCATTCGTAAGTTTGTGTTTCCCAGCACTCGGAGGAATTCATTGTCAGGGTAGAGCTCTGCCTCGTGAGGCTGCGTGGCTTAGCGCTCTCAGTACCTCATGTCTTCTTGATGTCTGCAAATATTGTAAATGACAACAAATGTGTATTTTTTTTTTTCCCCTTTCTGTTGCTGCCTCTCATTTTATATATTTTTTTTCCCAAAATCTTTGAAGCAGTCATGGCAGAACAGATAAATAGCTGCTGGATACACTTGTTTTTGGTTCTCCAGACAGAGCTGTTGGTACAGGAGCATTCCCTCTTTTCTTGTGATACTCCTTGACACCAGGTATCCTTGGGCTGTCCGGAGAGCTTCCTGATTCTAGGTGCTGGATGGAGTTGTTATGGCCACCCATAGGGCACAGCTGTTCATGAAGCGTACAGTTCATAAAGAGAATGCAGTATTGCTTCGTAAGCCAACCTGGCATTAATTCTTCTGTGTTCCCCCCTCTCACTCATGCTTGCTCTTATCACAAGAAGGCAAAGATGGTAAATAGTTTTGGGAAAAGTCGCTGAACCGTTGTCTAAAGAAGTTCAGCCATAGAAATAACCTTGATTTCCTCTGATGAGGAGCAAGTGTGACAGGCTGAAATGTGTCAGTAGGGTTGTTCTTCCCGAGGCTCATATTCAGCAGCCTTGAAGAAACTGAAGGGCATTGCAGTACCCATCTTCATTCTTAATGTTACGAGCTGTAGATCCCCAGGGCCTGGCTTCAGCACTCAGAGTACATTTATGTCTCCCTAACCACTGCATTTAGAGAAGGGCTTCTACTGGTAATATATATATATATATTTTCAATTAGTATTCAGCTTAGAAAGGGAACGAAGTCCAATGTCTTTATCTCGGTGGGTTTATTGTAGATTGAGGAGTGGGAGATTACCGGGATGGAAAGCTGAATGATGTCTGTTGGCTTAGGGCTCATAACAATTGTGAAGGAAATTCAGCAAACCTAGTTTTGTATTTGTTGTAGATTGTTCCCAGCACTGTCGCTTGAACATCAACATGCATGCCAAAGCTGCCTCATTTTATTAGCAGAGCAGGCAGATGTTGAATTGTTCCAAACACGGCTTTGTTACCCCAAGCTCTTATTGAAGGTTCGTGGGCTTTCTCTTTGCATACTGCTCAGCCCTAATTTCACAAATTTCACAGCATTCTTTTCTGAAACAAACTCTCATTTCAGTTTCAATGTGTTGCCCACCAGCTGGACGCCTGGTTTTCCAAAAAACTCCTACATGTCTTTTCTAAGCTCGACGAGCCAAGATTAAAATTAAATTATGATAAGAATCCATGTGGATTTCTAACGTGGAGTCTGCAGTTCAAGATAAAGGTGAGAAATCTAAACAAACTGGTATACTTTGTAGGTACACAAATTGGGAAACAGAGATTACATCCTTTGGTGTTACAGATTGTCCTGAATAATACCAAATTCATTATAGAGACATAAGAGCTGCTGATTCCCTTGATACTAATGTGGCTGAATTACTGCTAGGTAACGTCAGCACTTAAGTTATCTCCAATTCGTGTGTATTCCTACTAACAGTCATGGAACTCTGATATCAAAGAAAATGTAAGAATTAATATCTTGTTCTGTATAGCTAAGAAAACTGGTGTTAAACAGGTAATACTTCTCAAAGAAATTAGGAAGTCAAAAGGAGGAAACTAATGACTTGATCAGCAATTACCTTCATATCAGGTGGTTTTCTTCCTCTTGTTCTGTGTAATCTAAGGTCTTTGTGAGAATTTCTGTTTCCTGCCCTGCTATGAACAGCTCACGTGTCACATGAGATTTTGCTAAATATGCAATCCATATAGTTGAGATTTGTGGTTGTTTTTTGTTTGTTTTTTTTCTGAAATAGAACCACAGGTAGTGGGAAAGTAATAGACACGGAAGTGTAATGTGGGCCATGCCAATTGCTTTGGGGCCCCAGGTCAAAATTAAATCAGCTCCTCAGAGCCCCACGCTGCCAGAATTCAAGAAGCTTTTGGACGATGCTTTCACACTTAGGATTTGGATTTTGGGGGGGGTCCTGTGTGGAGCCAGAGTTTGGACTCAGTGGTCTGTGTGGGTCCCTTCCAACTCTGCGTACCATGATTCTGTTTTTAGAGGTAGCATAAATCAGGTGGTGACTGAATCATCACGTGCATCCTCGGAGGAGGTTGGAAGATTGATCTTACTGTTAGAAAGTAGATTTTTATGAGCTTTATTGGTTTGTTATTCAACCAATTCTTTTCAACAGCACAACGTTCAAAGCAAGTCACTCCTTTGCCCAGCTTGAAAATAACTAAAATACAGATTCTGGGAGGTGCATAACTCTGGCAAAGCCTGACTTTGGTAGTAATGCACTTGACTGAGAATATAAAGTAAGAATTAGGAACAGAGGTAAAAATGTGATTACAAAATCATCTTTGATTTTTGAGCTGAAAAGAATGCAGTAATTTTTGCTTGTGCTTTTGAACCCTTAATGATTTTCTGTTTGCTCCATTAGATGTTCTGCAAGGACTAGGCCTATTTCTGCTCTATTACTTTCCATCTGAAATTTCCAAAAATAGTAATTAAAAGCTTGGTAACTACTAAGAGTTCCCCCATCCACTTTATTTTCCTGCAAGATTCTGGTATGGATTCTTCCATTCATTCTGCCTTATTTTGAAGTGAATATTTAAAGTATTAACCCAACTTGTGGTGATGGCTTTTTTTTTTCCCCCCTCTCCTCCTGAAGCACAAAGTCAGATGTGGGCTATTTCTGGACAGTGGATTGCATTGTCTCAGCTGGCTCCATTTTGTTTAAGACAAAATAAAGGGCCTATTTTGGAAATGTTGTGGTGTGGGGCTTTACTTGCTGATTTCAGTAATTCTAATCAGAATAGATAACCAGGGGATTGTATATTACTGGCTTGCCTAGAGCATGTAACTAATGTGAAACTTCACTTTGCCACTATGAAATCTCTTCTGTATTAATTTGTTTGCAATTTCCAATCTCAGGAATGATTTTAATGTGCCGTGAAGCTGCACCTGGTCTAACACAGCCACTGAACTGCTGCTGAAAAGGTTGCCTTGGCCCTTGGGCCTCCACCATAGCCCCACGTAGCTGTGGCTTCCCAGGCAGGGAGCTGGTCCGTGCTGCCTATGACCTTTCTGTTTGTCTGTGGTTGTTTTTTGAGTCGGTCTCCAGTTCTGGTCCCTGATCTTTTTGACCTTGCAAAGTGCTGACACAGCAGGAGTACGAATGACCAGCCATAGTAGTGTAGGATTTGCTGAAGCCAGAGTCAGTGGGAACTCCTCATGCCAGACTGCAACCTGCATTCTTCTCTCAGATCATGTATCTCACTTTGGTAGAGGAAGGGACACATCTGCAATATTGCTGCAATGCTCTGTTTTGCCTAATGCTTTTTTTTTTTTTTTTTTTCTTTATTTTAAGTGAAAGTGAAAGATTTTGACTTAAATTGGAAGCTCATGGATCTAGCAATACAATGTAATACTTTCTTAGGGAATTCTGTCAGTGGCGTTCCAAACATGTGGTGCTGGCCTTGAGTCTGTCTCAAAGGAATGCTGACCGTAACAGTGTTGCTGTTTCAGGGGTTTTTGTTTATTTGTTTTTGAAAGGATGTGAAAGTTTTGGTAAAGGATTGCATAAGGAGAACATGTCAGTGCTTAACATTATCACAAGCATAAGTAAATGCATTTATATGCATTCTGTGTTACAGTTTGTATTCCAACTTTCAGAGTATCTTCTTTTGTTTTTAGATGAATCTGCGTTCTGTATTTACTGTAGAACAGCAAAGGATATTACAGCGTTATTATGAAAATGGAATGACAAATCAAAGTAAAAATTGTTTTCAGCTCATATTGCAGTGTGCACAAGAAACTAAACTGGACTTCAGTGTAGTCAGGGTAAGTACTGAGGCTTTCCAAATTTGTTTGTAAGTTATTTATTTTTAAGTTATACAAGTTCATTCCTTCACACCAAATATCTTCAGAGAACTGGAGTGTCTTCCTGTGTGTCTGTAAGTCAGACTTCATACTTGTATGACATGTGCATTTGTATCCAGTGAGCCTGTTTATAGACTGAAATGTCATGGCATGATTGCTGTGTTAAGCAGGTGCTTGGTGGCACAAGGAGTGTTTGTTTTGTTGTTGGTTGTGGTTTGTTTTCGTCTTTTTGTTTTTGTCTCTTGTTGATTTCTCTTGTTGGTTGCATTTTTTTAAATTAAACTGCAAATGGAATTTCCCTATAGAAACTTCGTGCAGTGTATTGTACCAAAGAAAGGTCATGCTGATAGAAAACTATTCTTAAGGTAAAGCAGTTTCTATGACCTATTGTATTTTGGGGAAAAATATCACAGTTTTTCATAGAAAACGCTGCCACATTGATGTTCCATGTCACACATTATTACTTACAGTGACTACATTGTTTTCGTATAAAAGAATGTCAGTAGTGCTAACAGGAGCTCTTCCAAAGTCTGTGAATCACATGGGAAAGGAAATAAGAATCCTTTTGTGAAACACTGAACAGTAAAATGGCTGTTGTCTTGGAGCAGAAACAGAAATCATGGAGCATAAATTGAAGGAATAACAGTGGTAGTGAAGCTAGCAGTAGGTGCTGCAGCACTGGGCATTGAGGAGGAGAAAGTGAGACCAGTCTAATGCTTCTTGGACGAGCCTGTGGTATACAACAGCTGCTTCTGCCCCTTAATTCTTAACTAGATTCCCCTCTCTCAGAATACTCTGGAAATATTCAGGTTACTTTCTCAGCTCAGGATGCTCTGAAAGTCACCCATAAATTCTAACTCACAGATGGAGATTTGTAGCAGGCATCTGTTTGCTGATGGTATAGTTGTGCCTATTTTTCTATTTTTACTCTGATTCAAGGACCCAGAGGAGGCAGCCAGTCTCTCCTCTGTTTGCACTCCTCATTCACTTTCCATCTTCCTATTACCATTCCTTTCTCTATTATCCTTACTGCAGTAATGTGTCACAGCCTTTTTCTTTAGTTGTCTTCTTTGCTGAGCCCTTCTTCACGCAACGTAAACTCTTCCTACTCGTGAACTGAAATGGAAACATACCATTTGTCCTGCATTTGTCTTATTTTTTTATGACCTTTCTCTTCTTCATACTTCTCCTTTTTGCTCTTAGCAGCGTGCTGTTTTGTTTTTCTGTAAGACTTTTGGTCCAGGATTAGTACTTCCTTGTATGCTGTTGAACAGAATAAGTGTAGGTTGCAGCTGACGCTTGCAAAGAGGAACACAAATTTCCTAAATGTATATTATAATTCAAATTTCATAACTCTATAAATAAACTAATTCATTTCCCAAGTGAGGATTTCTGTAACCCTGTCCCAGAGAACTACATCTGGTTTTCCTAATCTCAAGGTATGTTATGATTTGGTGGGAACATATGCAGGTTTTATCACTGTGAGGCATACAAAATGTCTCTCCCTTTCAAAATTAGGAAACTTGGAAGATTGCTTCTAGGACAATCCTCTACCCTCTTCAAATTTAATGGAAATGTTGAACCATGCAGGGTTTGAATGGCGTGGTTTTGTTGATTAATATTAGTATATTTTTACTGTTGGTTGGCTTTGCAGTTAAGTATGAGCAGGTATGACTTGTTAAAGTGCAGATGTTCTCCAGCTTTCAATCTTCATAGCTGTTATCACCAAGTGCTGAGGAGCACTGATCTGGGTGGTAGTGTGTGGTTCTCCCCTCAGTACAACAGTAAATGTGACTGTAACAGAACACAGAGCTTCGTTATTCTTCCATATCTCTTGAAGCAGATCCTGAGAACATCTTGTTGTCATATTTAGGGTGGAACTGGTTAAAACTAAAAACAGTAGCACTCAGCCACTCGGCGTGTGTATAGGTTATGGGACAGTCTGAAGTTCAAGGGGATGTCTCTTTCCCTGGATCAAAATCTGCAGTATCCCTAATAATGATTTCTGATTTAAAAGTTTGCTGACTGAGAAGAAATAATGAAAAATAAATTTGATCTTCTAAAATTGTTTTAAGCAACAAAAGGAAATAATTTGAGACTTGCAGCTCTAATTTCATGTATTTAAATTTGGTTCTGTGAAGCAGAATTCTGAAACAAGTAACTGAGATTTGATTGATGTAATAAATCATGCTTCAAATTAGGCACTTTATAAAATTGGATGAGGAACATGAGTAGAATGGATCAGGAATTTCACAGAATCACAGAATTGTAGGGGTTGGAAGGGGCCTCCAGAGATCATCGAGTCCAACCCCCCAAGATATCAAGATATTTGTTTAAAACAAGGGAGTGTACTTTGCTCTAGAACATCTCTTTACTTCCCCAATAGAAATGGGAATGTTTTTAAGTTGAGGGAGGGGAGATTTAGGTTGGATTTAGGGGGAAATTCTTTACAGAGAGAGTGGTGAGGTGCTGGAACAGCTGTCCAGAGAGGTTGTGGATGCCCCATCCCTGGAGGTGTTCAAGGCCAGATTGGATGGGGCCCTGGGCAGCCTGGTCTGGTATTAAATGTGGAGGTTGGTGGCCCTGCATGTGGCAGGGGGTTGGAGATTCATGATCCTTGAGGTCCCTCCCAACCCTGGCCATTCTGTGATTCTGTGAACAGGTGTTAATGTATGAAGAAATCTTGCCTTCTTTCACGTGATGAAGTGGAAATCTGAGAAAGGTACTCAGCGTTGTTACCTTGTAGTGGGTTGAAGTGGTTTGTTGATTAAATCAACTGGTTTGGGATGCTCAGTGCTGAGATGTGCTGCACATGTAAAACCAAACCAAGGCACATGATACCCAGAGTGGTACAGATGACTGTTTCACTGTATCTATGTATAATAACCAGCAGAAGCTGATTCTAAAGGATTATTTATTTTAAGTTCTTTGGCCCTTATGTCTGCTTACTTATACTGTCACATTCAGCACAAACATACTGTGGTGAAAGAATGAAGCAAGTCCTGCTTTGCTGATCATGTAAGTTCCCAGGAGCAGTTAAATGGTGCTTATGCTTCTAGTGTTAGAGCTGATGATTCCACCAGGTTGACTCTCTTTATCTTGGAACACTGAATTAATATTTCCCCTTAAGTTCCTTTAGCTGTACCTTAGTTTGTTACTTGCATGACAAACTTTCCTCTGTGTTCCTCATGTTTCCTCATGCACAAGAACTTCTTTACAGTGAGGTGACGGAGCACTGGAACAGGCTGCCCAGGGAGGTGGTGGAGTCTCCTTCTCTGGAGATGTTCAAGACCTGCCTGGATGCCGACCTGTGTGACCTGCTGTAGGGAACCTGCTTTGGCAGGGGGGCTGGACTTGATGATCTCTGGAGGTCCCTTCCAACCCCTACAATTCTGTGCTTCTGTGTTTAGAACAACAGGATCTTGTGCTCAACTCTTATAGCAGAGGAAGAATTACCTACTTGAAAAATGTATCTATGTATGGTCATTGTCACTTTCAGAAATGCCCATCATAGCAAACTTCTGTTGCAGTCTAACCCCAGTACTAATCTTGTCTTGTGCAGCTGGCAGAAGAGGAATTACTCTGTAGGTTTAAATATTTTACAAAAGTGTTTTATCAGAAGGAGTTGTTCCTGTTCTTCTCTTCTTCCTCTTAACCTGAATTCAAGAAGTAATGGTTTCTGTTCAAGGCAGTTCTGAGAGTTGTGTCTGTCCGTTACTTGGTTACAGAATCTTCCTTCTTTTAGAAGTAAATCTAGGTGTATATCTCAGTGAAGGTTTGGCACCCCAAAGTGCTAAATATAAAAACTGATATTTAGGGAAAATAGTGATGGGGTGCCAGTGGAATTAATCTTAAGGATAGCCTTGGGATAGAAGGCATGATACAGTCTCAGGGATTCTGAGAAACTGGAGATTTGAAGTCAAGATGGCTTCTCATGTGTATTCCTGCGTGAGTCCCAAGCTTGAGAGACATGGATTTCTACCTTGAGTTGTTCAGAATCTGCATAACACTAAATGATTTATGGTCATTTCAACACTTAACACTTTATCAGTTCTGCTTTAAAAATGAAGTTGGCTAATGTTTTCTGCTTATTTACTGCATGTGTTTGTTATTGTTTGCAGACCTGGGTTGGCAATAAAAGAAGGAAGATGAGCAGCAAGAGTGCTGTAGAATCTGGAGGTGCTCCCCCAGGGACTGCCCCTGCTGCTCCCTCGGTACCGCCAGAAGCAGCAGTTAGAAATGTGGTAAATATTGCTCGGTCCCAAAGTCAGCAGTCTTCTTGGACCTCTTCTAATAACGATGTAATAGTTACTGGTATATACAGTCCTGCTAGTTCATCCAGTAGGCAGGGATCCACCAAGCAAACAAGTGCTTCAATGGCAGAAATACATAAAACCTCTATTCCAAGACTACCAGGAAAAAGTGACACAGACTTTCAGCAGCAGCACATCCCTATAGGGCGACAAATACCACACTGTAAAAATGCCTCACTATTAGTAGGGGAAAAAACGATTATTTTATCTAGACAAACAAGTGTACTGAATTCTGCGAACTCCATTTATAGTCACACAAAAAAAAGCTATGGTGGTTCATCTGTCCAAACTGCAGAGTTGGTGTTACCTCAGAAACCAATGATATGCCACAGACCCTGCAAAGCTGAACTCATGGGATGTCAGAGGTTACAAAAACCAGAACATGCAGCCCTTGCATCGCATGTGCCCCCTGGACAAAGGGCTAACACTAGGGACCCTTCTTGTAGCACACAAAACCTGGAAATCCGCGAGGTGTTTTCTCTGGCGGTTACAGATCAACCTCAAAGAATTGTGGGAGGAAGTACAGCACAGAAGCACTGCTCAGTGGAAGGCAGCTCTCTGTCCATTGCGATGGAAACTGGAGATGTGGATGATGAATATGCTAGAGAAGAAGAACTAGCATCCATGGGAGCACAAATACAAAGCTATTCAAGATACTGTGAAAGTAGCAGTTCTGTTCGAGTGGAGAACCAAAGTGCAGCCTTGTCTGGGCCAGGAAGAAATGTGAGCTGTAGTTCTCAGATGGTGAATGCCAGGGACGTGCCTGACAGTATGCTGTATCACAGCAGAGACTACCACTTGCCTGCACGGACCTCATTACATACATCCAGTACATTATATAACACTGCTAATACATCAAGAAGTACTTTTTCTCCTCATTTTACATCTTCAAATCAACTGAGGCTGTCACAAAACCAAAATAATTACCAGGTAATCTGTCAATTATCTGTCTGCAAATCTTGAAGACAAGGTCGTTGATAAGTACTGTTATCTTTGGAATTTGTTAGCTAATAAGTGGTAGGTTTGTATTTCTGTAAGCTGTGCTCCATTTATGTCTTTCAACTGAGGCAATTCCTTATTAAAAGTGAAGGTAGGACTGTGGTATGGTAGCACTTTTATCTGGGTAGCTGAGCCTGTGGCTGCAGTGGCTTGTCACCTACTGAAGGGCAGCGTGGGCTTTGTGTATTCAATAGATAAACTTTGTTTACATGGGGATCATACCTGCAGTTGCTGATACATGCTAAAGCCCTGTGTCCTGACTTGGCGTACCGGTGCATGTCACAGCTGTACCCTTTGGTTCTCTGCAGACATACTTTGCATGTGGCACAGGGAACATGGGATCACACCCTCATCCATGTGCTGTACAGTTGCTTGCCCTTATTAATGTCAGGTTGGATTAGCTCTTCCATCAATGTCTTATGACTGACAGGCTGTGGTATTACTCATTGCTTTTGCATGCTATTTCTGTTTTAATTTATCCTGAAGATGAACCATAAAAAAAATACCATCTTTTAATGTGTGTTGTTCACTAGTATAGGGACTAATAGGATATATGGTGGTTTTTCTGTCTCTTTTTTTTTTTTTTTCCCCCCCCCCTCTTCTTTCCAACTTGTCCCTATATCCTGTCAGAGTTTGAAAGTAAGGGTTTTTTGAGTCTATAAGTGCCCCTTCTCACCAGAAATCACAACTATTCTGGGCTGGATTCTGTGCAGTAGATAGGACACTGGCTTACTTGTCTTTACTTGTGGCCTTTTGTAAGCTGAATACGTCAAAGGAGCTGTTTGTTTTCTTTTTTTCCCCTTTCTCCCTTTTCCTCTCATACAGTCTCAGTGTTTGATATTGCTGTTCTTGAATTTTAAAAACTCATTAAATACTACTTAATAAGAGAAGAAAAGCTATAAATATGCATATCCCTTTTGTAAAGGGACTGTAAAACTGCAAAAGGGCACGAAGTTCAGGAAACTGTTGAGAAAAGTTTCACTTAATGGAATACAGTATGGATACATCCAGCTGTGTGCTCTTAGCTCTTTATTTCACTTTTGAAAAACTGTCAGTATGTTTTTCTCTTTCTTTCTTTTCAAATTTCATTAGAAATTAAAGAACAACAACAACAAAACAACTTGGATTTGGAATACTTTGGGTTAGGGCCTGAATCTCTTTGTAGATTAAATGCCACCTATCATGAACCATTCTGTCTGGCCATGTAGTATGGTATAAATCAGATCAGGGATGTCTCTGTAACTTACTTTATTGTTGTCTCTTTGATGCTTTTGTCCTCTGTTACAGTGATGTACCTATTGTTTGGTAAGTGAGGAATTCTTTACACCATGTGACTTCCATGCGAGTCTTTCACAAGCCCTTTGCCCCTTGGATTTAGGAATATACCTTGGATTGAGGAAATCCTATCTCCTGTGGCATCCTTTGCCCTTACGCACTCTTAAACCTTGAAAGAACTGGGAAGGTTGCTGTTAATGCATTTGTTGCTGTAGCAATCCACTCTGTGAAATATTAAGATGGCACTTTTCAGTATCAGAATTTATAGGGGAAGATAAAAGCTGTGGTCTTAAGGCATGTCATGGTTCTGTAGAAACTGCAGAGGAAAAGTGTCCTACAAGCTGGATGGATCCTGTACTGCCTTGAAGGAATGGTGGCTCTGACTTCTGATCACTGTATTCCTTGCTGAGAGTTAGAGCACGTTTCAGAGCAGTGCCAACAGTGAAAACCGTTAAACGCAGGGATATCTTCCTCAATTTAAAAACAGATTAAACTTGAGTTATGTGATTGTGAGAGTAGTTAAACATCCAAGCAGATGCTTCTTCAAAGGTAGGAACGTGTGATGTTGTTTTGATGAAGTGATTACTGTTGTACATTGGTGGGGCATCTAATTAGCAATTAGTTGTAGCTTTCTTACTGGTTCAGTTAATAGAATTCATCTTAGTGTAAACTGGAAATAAATTTAATGATTGAAATGATTGATTTTAATGCCTGAGCAGTTTTGCTAAGCAAATTGTTCAACCTACTAACTTTCGTTAGTTTGGTGCTGAGCTTATTGAGCAGGAGAGGCTGTACTTACTGGTCCTCGGGGCTGAGTAGGGATTTATCCTTAGTTTCCTTCCCCAGCCCTACAAAAACGTTGAAAATATGTGTGTTGTTTGTTTGTTTGTTTTAATTACTTTGTTATACACACTGAAGCACTGTTAATCTAATTTAGCCCCATACTCTTCTAGGGAAAATTCAAAGTCTTGCAGCAAGTATGGCAGAGTAGTATATATAGATATATAGATAGTACTTATTTCTTTATTACTAAGGTTCACTTTAAGGATGCTTGCAGAGGTGTGATCAGAGAGAGTACGTGGGAATGCTGGGGAGAGCAGCAGGGAGCAGGCTGCAGGAGCACTGCCTGCCACCTCTGCTTCCACAGGACATGCAGCAGCTGAGTGTGGTGGGGGCTGCTGAATGGTCCCAGTGCTGAGAGTTCAGGACAGGGAATCCACAGGTGAACTGGGAAAAGGCTGTGCAGGGACCTTGTACTGCATAACCACTTTTAGTGCCATTTCAGATTTCAGTGTATGTTTCCATGTATGTTGTCTTTCAGATAGTTTCACTGAAGTACTGTATTTGACGTCAGATCTGTCAGAACTAGTGTGTGTTTGCCTTCCACTTAACTGTTAATGCTCTGCCGTTGCTTTGACTCGCACAGGAAAGCACTGTTTTCTGAAGCTCCACTTGAAATTTGTTGCTCTTCTGAGGTATAAGAATACACACTAGTGTTACATGTGATCCAAATCAGCTTCGCATCGGAGTTAATTTAGCAAGGGAAAAAACACAAAATGACTGAACAGGGAAGTCTCAGAAAAGCCAACTGTATGACTATGGAATGCACTGCTGTTGTGTGGGACAGCAAATCTTAATAGTCGTAACTTGGTTCTAAAATGTGTGCTACTAAAAAATGAATAATTTAGATATGAAAGCTGGTGCAGACTTCCTTTTAGGAGGGAAAGGTGTTTAATTCTAGCTCTCTTCCTCAACCTTCCTTGTGCTGTAATGAGAGCCTGCCATTAGGTAACCCTCAGCACTCAGCTAAAAGCTTGGAGAATGAAGATATTGTACAACAGACAAACTGTACCAGGTATTCTGTATTCAGTCAGACCCATGCTGAAAGATTCATTATTAGAGCATTTCCCTAATACAAAAACTTTAGTGTACTTGATAGAGTCATCAGGAGGAGATTTGTCTTCCTCATGTACAGCATGTGTAATGACATGAGATTGATTAATCTCTCGAGCTGTGTTTATTCTCTGAAGCATTGCTCATCTGTAGCAGAAGCTGACATGGAATCCTAAATAAGCCTAAAATATTCCAGGCTATAAAACATTGCACATGTCCAGGGAAAATAGTATAAGATTTTATTTTATTTTGTAACAAGTCTGACGTCTAGGAATGATGGAGTAGTGATGAGAATCAAGGAAGCTAGCCTTTGCCTTCATACCCATTCCTCTTCCTTCATTAGCCTCATGTCCCTAGTTTTTCTCCTACTCTGCAAATTCTTGGTATTTGACACTGAAGAATTCAGTTACTGATGTCTTGGTGGATTTTGTTTTTTTTCTATTCTGAAGGTTTAACTGCCATAATTGAAAAATAGAAGAGTGCTGTTAAGCATCAGGCCTGTGACTAACTCTGGTCTGCTTAATCTTTCAAGCTTTGTGCAGTTATGAGATGTAAACTTGTATTCTGAACTGTAAGTTTTGAGACAGCAAAAGTTCATAAGTATCTGAATTGCCGTTGTGTTGTCACTCTCATGTGAGGAAGCAGTTCTGTTTTTAGTCCTGTAACAGTAATGCTAAGTGTGGCTTCGCTTTGCTTCTAAATCTCAGTTTATCTTAAATGTTGTTATCAGGACCAAATGCACAGTATCAAAGTCTTCTGGAAGTTGCTTGCTGTTTGTTATCATAGCAACCTAAGCTGCTGTTGTTTTCTGTTCTGTTTTCCCTTTCTTTACAGATTTCAGGAAACCTTACTGTGCCTTGGATTACAGGTTGTTCCAGAAAAAGAGCAGTAAGTATATTTCCATTCAAGTATCTAATACATCAAGTACAGGAATGAGACATTCTATCTAAATGTATTCTTGGAAATATCAAGTCCTGTTGTTGTACATTCCATTTTTTTTTTTTTTTTTTCTTCCATGTACAAGTTTTCTTGAGACTGTAGCCTTTTTCTGGAAGGCACCGTCCCACTATCATTTAATGACCTTTTCAAACATCAAGCAGGCAGTCAGTGCCCTCGAGTGCAGTCTCAGGAGCTGGCTGAGGTGGTTTCACAGTGCTTCACAGTTGAAAAGGAGGAATTTTATTCCACCCACGCTCCCTATGGGTGCACTGCCACCCCAGCCGTAACACTGGTGCTGGTATCTAATTGCAAGGTAATCCAAATTAAGCATCTGACCTGTCAGATACATCTCTTCCACTGAGTTTCTTTCTGCTGAGTTTGTATTTTTCCAGGTTTTAGTGAGCTGAATGTACTTGGGATCAGATGAGCATAGCTCTGAGTAGGCAGCAGTGATGAGGAGGGTGGGGCAGCAAGAACTAGCTGTGAATTTTTACACTGGCACTCTTATTTCATTATGACACCATAGTGCCAAAATGCTCCTTCCTGTACGCTTTCCATCTCTGTGGTATGAGTAGCAGTGGTGCACGAAGGCAGTTACTGATGTTGATTGCAGCCACGTGCGGCAGATTCTGTCCTGGTCCAGTGCAGAGCCCTCAACTGCAAGGTTATTGGGAGTAACACCAAATCTCCTCTTGTGTCCTCAGTTTAATATCAGTGGATAATGTTTAGGCAGGACATCTTCAACTTTTGAGTCAGGAAAAAATTATAACTTAAGAATGATTCTAAACATGGAATTTGTTTCTGAAAATACTTATCTGTTCTTTGCTATCATTCAGACTTTGTGATACTTTATGTATCAGACAGACTTAAAATGTTTTTCAGTAGGGAATAACAATTGAGCATGTTACATTTTTTCCTATCAATTTCTTCTTTTCTGTATGTACAAACTAATGAGACGTAAAACATTTGCATGGACTTCCGGTAATTAGCTTGCCACCTCAGCTTCAGTGTATGTAGTGTGTGTATGATAGGGATGGGTGAGAGAAAACGTGGGTGTGGAATTTCTTGAAGCTTGAGCAGGCACATGAGCAGCTCAGTGAGCAGCTGACATCTTTTCTTGCAGATATTTGGGACATTTTATCTCCTAATGAGCTACAGATTTGCTGACTGATTCCTTCTGTAGCAGGGGAAGTTACTGTGCCAGTCTGCTCACTGTTTGCAAGTGAGATCTCTCCAGGGGTAGAGTCTCCTGGGGAGGGGTTGGTGGATCCACTTCCTTCTGGCATTTCAAGTATAGCTGTCTTTCCCCACAGCACACCATACTCCCACTCTTATTTTGGAGGTAAGCACTGCAACTTCTCATTTCTCCAGCCTTAGGTATTTGGGAATACCCACTTAAGGGAAGGCTTTTCCATTAACATCAGCTGCTGCTGCTTAAGCATTGCCTCTCTCCATAAACTGTAATTTTAATCACCTGTTTAACAATGTGAACTATTTTTTTCCAATCCATTTTTGCTCTGAATTCTCTATGTAAAAGAATTTGTTTCTCTTTATTTCTCCCATCCCTTTTCAACCAGAATGCAACACAAGACTGATTGATTTACTTATTTCCCCCTCTTTTTGCTCTATGAAGGCTGCACTGCCATCTGGGGATGAACCTAACGGGAAAATGCAGATGTAAGCAATTGCAGTAGATGCTTCAGGGAGGTTATGTTATGACTGAGAGGCAATAGGTACACTTCTAAGGCAGTAATCTTCACAGCACAGAGTGAACCATAAGCGGAGCTTCTCCTTTGCTGTGCAGGGCAGGAAGCATTCACCTTTCTGTTAGTCATTCCAGATAAATTACTTCTGATGGCAATATTTACCCTTATCTGATTTAAATTGGGATGTAGGACTTCTCTGTAGATGAATCTATGTAGAGTGAGCTGGATAAGCAGTTGAGGAACTGGATAGCTTGTGCGTTGGTATTCCGAAGTTTTATTTTTTTAGAGGTGACCAGGGTAATGGCCATGCAGTTGTGGGTTTGGCACTCCAGAACTGATACATGTACACAGGTGTAAGGAAATGAAAGACAGGAAAGTCTCTTATTTCTTAGGAAACTTCAGTTTCAAATGTGAAATTCTTTTGAAGAAAGAACATGAAGAAACAGAAATAGAATGCATGAAGTTGTAGAACTGTGATTATGGCAATTACTACCATTCAAGAAGCAAAAAGGCTGATCTGTATTTTGTTTAAAATAGAGAAGATTGTGTTTTAGATGCTCTGAATTTGTTTTAATCTTCTGCCTTGTAATTTGTTTTCCTCTCCTTGTCCTTCAGCTGCATCGAGTCAAATAACTGTACAGTTCTACAGAAACTCTTGCTGGTCTGCTCAGCTGTGCTCTAGAATGATGTAATCCTGACTGTTAGTGAATATTAGTGTAGAACTATCACTCTGTTATTCATGTGAATGTCTTTCAAAAAACATGGAGTTCTGTACTGTGGAGTAAGTGGAGGGCTTCTGTCATGAACATTTGCATTTAGATCACTGGGCCATTACAGCCAATTTCCATAAAATTCTAGAGACACTGGCATTAAAGTGTTCTGCTCAGAGTCTGTCACAGGAGTACAGTCATGCACTTTGGATCAGGTAAAGGACCAGATGCAGCTCCGTGTTGCTGTGAGTCCTGCCACCAGCTGAACTTGCTCGTCTGAGGGAACGGCAGTGGCAGCTGGTGTGTGGTGGACACTGGTGGTGTGGGTACATCAGTACAAGTGCTGAATAAAGTTCCTTGTTGGGTTGTGATCTAAAAACCTCATGAAAACTACTGCCACAGTGAGCCTATGTGTACTGATGAAAGCTATCTCTGGGTGGCTTTTTAAGTAAAGTGGGAACCCGCAGGGGTTAAAACCAAGTGCACTTCAGTTAAGCCTTTTTATTTTAAAACTGTATGCCAATATTGAAATATTTATTAGTCCTGCCTCCTTCAGAGCAAGCATCTGGCTTACTAAAACAGTGGAGCGAAGTGCAAAAAGTCTCTTCCAGAAATCTGTGGTTGCATACTTGTGGTACAGGAGCTGTAATGGTTTGCAGTCCACGTCCAAGCACGTGTCTGTCTGAAGGCTCTGCAGATTGCGTTCTTCTCTGTATCTTCTGCTCTGTGAATGAGACTTGGTGGTAACATTTTTAACAGCTCACTCCTAGCCATTTTGCTGGGGGCCTTCTGGTATGTTTCTTTGTCTTAAGATTGGAAGTGCCATGTGATAGGTACTGATCTGCTCGTGTGCTGACAGAGGAAATCTTGAGATGGGGATAATTAGCGTTCAGAAACCAACCCTCCAAATCATTTTGGTAATTATGGCCACCAGCTGCATCCTTATTTATTTATTTTAAATTCCCCAGGGAGAAGTGTGTATCCTGGGAGTCCTAGTGGGTTGGGTGGAAATGCACACAGGACACCAGCCCACAGACAGCAGGCTCTTCAGGGATGCTCTGACTGATATTTCTGCTGATAGTGCTAAGGGAAAAGTCAGTCCAAGATTTTAAAGGTTTTTTTTAGTGACAGTAAAGCAAATTCTGAGTTGTGTGTGGCTGAAGACTAGCCTGTTCTTTCTATAAAGAGATGCAGTGTTGGCCATTGGGAGAAGAAATTGCAACATTTGCCAGGGAGCAAGACACTCTGTAGTAGTGACTAGGATGTGTTGCAAGAGGTTCATTTGCTAGAAGTAACTGTGGTCGTAGAACACTTAATCACAGAGCATCAGAACTGGGCTGCTGACCTAGTTCTTTAACTTCAGAATATGCCTTCAGGATATGCCTAATCTGAACATTTGCAATTGACACATAAGAAGTGATCTAAAAAAGGCAGGTGCTAATAAACAACGGGCTAAGGACACTGCACTGAAGTGTAATTACTCGTACCAATTACAGAGCCTGGGATTGCACCACAAATATTGCAGACAGTGGGTATAATGAGGGGCTTGGCCAAGTGCCAGGGATGCCTATAATAAACTGGGTCATCTCTTATAAGAGTGTTGTTATTACACTTGAGAGGTCAGGGGATAAGCAGGGTTTAACCCTGAGCTTGGCAGAACTGCTGATTCAATTTGCTCACAAGGATTGCTTTTCATTGTGAGTTGATGGGCTATTTTCTGCTGGAAGAAGCTTCTATCTGCTTTTCAAAGTATGGACAGCTGAACTGATAAATGTAAAGTATTCCACAGACAGTTAATACAGACAGTTAATGCTCTCAAGGATAAAGTTGGGCCCCAAATCAGCAAGTAGGGAATTTGAAGGAAGGACATGAGAACTGTATTCACAGTGTTCGTAATAATGAAGTAAAAAATAGGAAGTGAATTATTGACTTGTCTTCAGTTATAAGAAGTGTTATCTTAAAGATGAAGCTTTTCAGTGTTATCTTTTTTGTTAATTTTTTCCCCTCCCTGTGGTAACTGCTGATCACCATCAGTGCTGTGGTATTTCTAGAACTGTACATTTTCGTCTTTGTTTCCCCAATTCCTCTGGTGATACTAAATAAGAGGAGGTTATTAACCAAACAGATGGAAGATGCATGTTCAATGTAGGAGTTCTGCCCTTTATTTCCTTACAAAAGACACCAACTTTTGTGAGCGTTAAGTAATTTTTGAGTAGTGTATAATGCAGGAGTCAAACTTACAGTATTTGTCAAGGGGATGATAATGTAATTGAATGTGGTTTGTGTAAGAAATCCATGCAAAGACACTGCATGGTCACTTACAGAAAGCAGCCAGTCCTAATCTGAGTTTTAATAAGCTTAGGTGTTACGTACATTTAGTAAGCCTATGGGCTGAGGTGGATCCCAGCAGTGAGAGCAGTGTAAGTGAAGGAGAGAATCTTCCTTTGTGCTCCCTCATGCAGTGTAATGCAGCTCATGTCTGCGAAGCACGTGGGCAGCTTCTGCAGTTTGTTAACATGTGCAGGAGCCTGCTACTCACAGTGACCTGTTGGTCATTCTGAGCCCCCAGGTGCCAAATATCTTTCTTTAGGGGGCACTGGTATGATTTCAAGTCTCAATCCTCCCTTGGAGATACTCAGGCCTGTCAGGCTGGACCTGCCTCTCAACTCTCTGATGGAGATGTTGATGTCCCTGCTCATTGCAGGGGAGTTAGATTACATGACCTTTAAGGGTCCATCCATTCCCACTCAAACAATTCTATGATTCTATAATTGTAGCTTCTGTTTCCAACTTCATGTGTTTCTAAAGAATACCATCATCTATTTACTTGAACAACTTTCCTCTCCATTTGTTTCTGCTTTCTGGACTCTCTCATGCAGTGTGTGTTGTAGAGTTTTGTTTTTTTCTTTCATATCAGTTGACTGGAAAAGCTTGTTCTCCATTCCCTTGTCTGACCTGCGATCGGTATCAGCGTGATTCATGCGCTGCTGCACGAGTCCTTCAGCAGAAAGAGGAAGGGTAAAGTACCTGATGTGACAGCAGCTGCAAGAGCAACCAAAATGCAGAAATATGTGTTGTCATCTTATTCCCAAGTATGAGGGAAAACTAAACCCATGTATTTAGTGTGCAAAAGCTGAGCGACTTCTAAAAGAGGGGAGATGTAGGTTAGATGTTAGGAAGAAATTCTTTTTACTTTTTTATAAACACTCAATATGCTTCAGAAGATAAAGTTGCCCTAAGCTTCCAGCCCATCACAAAGAGCGGGGGAGGTCAGACTGACTTGTTTCTCCTTCTGCAGTGAGCACTGCTATCACATTCCTTTCTACCTTCCCTTTTCTCAGTGCTAGGCTGCCTCTCCCTGACCATTCCATGCAGAACAAGAGAAGTCATGCAGCCCTTTTTAGAAGTGGCATTCTGCTTTGCCAACCGCTATAAGAAGAGATATTGTCACAGTGATTTGGGAAATGACCACGTCATCCTTGAAAGGTGGCTTGCAGGTACTCAGAGTGTAGGTCAGGTCAGGCTAACCAGCATCTGCTTAGGAGTGTACATGAGGGATTTAGTTCAGCAGTGTGCTCTCCGGGTGAAGTCCACTTACTGCCCTGAGCAGCGCTGAGATGCTCCAGGTGGTCTCCCAGCTGAAGGCAGGCTGCAGCAGCCATCTGGGAGTGCACCTGAGGCACTGCTGGGCTCAGGCCCTGGGCACAGGGCGGCTGCAGCTCCGGCTGCCTGGCTGCTGCTGGGCTCCTCCCGGCGTGTGAGCGGCTGGATGGCAAGGTGGGAGCAGCTTCTGGTGTTCTGTGCTTGGCTGGGAGAAGCCACAGCCATGTTTTGACATCCTTTTTACCATTGCATTAAGGAGGCTTAGGTGTTTCCAACATTTTGTGTTTTAATGCACTTTAGAGTTATTTCATTCTAACTTGAAACAGTTTTCAAATGGGCAAACCTGGATTTCAGGTGTGAGACCAGATTATTTCTCTCAAAATTCAGCTGTTGAAATGATGACAGATTTGGCACATGTGATGACTAATGCACTTTATAGTTACGTTTGTATGCTCCTAATCGCTGGAGAGATGACAAACGTGGGCTGATATAAAGAAACCTGAAATGTTAGTTAAAATTCTGGGCTAAAAGCTATTGATAAAACTTTAAGGTTCTGTTGGCAGACTGAAGCCCATAAAAATGGTAGGAAGAATTAGCAGGAAGTGTAGGATTTGTTTCTCAGTTTCACTGCTTATTATCAGTAATCTACTATCACCTATTTTGATAAATATACACAGAGTTAGGGAACTTGCAAATAAACTGTAGAACCAATTTAAACTCTGAAGCTCACCAAATAAACATTAAAGTATTCCCTTTAGGAACTCAGAATCCTTTGAATTATGCATGTATTGTAGTTTGCAGTAAGATAAAAGAACTTTAGGTGGGGGATGGTGAGAAACTTGAAAAGCCTTAAGGAGTAATTTCCATAAATTGGGTGGAGAGAGTAAACAGCACAAGTGGAAAAAGTTATTTTCAGAAAGGTCTTCTGGAGTAAGATAAAACAAATTTAAAAATCAGGTGGAGTTTGGAACAAAGCTAAAGTGCTTTAAACTCATTTCAGCACTGCCACTGCCTTTCAAGCAACTCCCAGGGAACGCTGTTCTGGCCTGGATAAGTAACTGAACTTAAAAAAAAAAATTCTGAAGGGTGAGTTAGAAGAAAAGCCACAAAGACAGTGTAACATACATCCTACTGTGTGCAAGACCTCTGGAAATTAAATGAACAGGATAAGGATTTTTAATCTAACAGTATTCTATTTTCTTTTATCTTACAGTTACAGGACCGCACCCAATTTAGTGACCGAGACTTGGCGACCCTAAAGAAATACTGGGACAATGGCATGACCAGCCTGGGCTCAGTCTGCAGAGAGAAAATAGAAGCTGTTGCTGCAGAATTAAATGTTGACTGTGAAATAGTGCGGGTAAGAAATCCAGAGCCTTCCCCTATCTTGTAGCAGAAGCAAAAATAGGGCAGATGAAAGCTTTTAAAAATTTCATGAGGAAGCTTGAAATAGATTTCATGTATTACATAATGAATGACCATTTTAGGAAGTGTTCTCTTGCTCTTTCTGTAGTCTATATATAGAAAAAAGCCCTCAGGTAAGAGTCTTATTGATCAGGAGTAGAAGTCGCACTCCAAACAGTTTGACATTCTCTTTAGATTTGAGTGAGGTTTTGAATAAGCCCTGCATGTTTTTAGGGATATCCTAGATGAATGAGTAGTGTTGTCATTTATATTGTGATTAAGATACAAAAAAGACCTTCTAGAGATACAGGGAAAATATTTTTCAGTACTTACAGGAAAAAAGTAATTTTAAACATACAAAAGAAAACGTTCAAAAACAAAACTTATTTTCCGAGGCTGCTTTGAAGCTGGATTGAGTTGTGACAGAGGGCAAGGGGTACTGTAAAGAATTCTGGGTCCTTTCAGTTTGATAGTCTGTGCCTTTGAGGAAGGATTGCTTTAGAAAGTATGTGCTTAGTGTAGATATCCTGTTTGCTGAGAGTCATTCTGCATTGTCTGTTCCTGAGGTGGGGAAGTTTGGTAAAACATCCAAATATAGTTGCCACTGTAAACACAATTACCAGATGTATCATCACTCTAAAAACAGAGGTCTCTTCTTCACTCACTGCTTCCATCTTCAGAAAATAGTCTGACTGTCTTTGCAGTCAGCACAAAAATTTGATTAGAGCTGTCCTTTCCCATCTTAATGGGCATGACAATTGTGACTGCTCCTTTCAGCCTTCAGACTGCTCGTTTTCCATCTCTCCCTTAAAACCTGACACCAAAGGAAAAGAGGGTGACAGCAATCAAACTCTTGAAAAGTGTATGAAAAATACAAGGAAAAGGCATGACAATTTTTTTATTTAATGGAACATAAAATGATTGTACTTAAAAGATGAAATGCTACCAAAACAGAAGAGATGAGAGCCTTTATTTGAAACTCGTATGAAGATCTCTGTTGGATTGGTATATCTGTATGGTATCAAATTAGTTTGAAATAGTGAACTTGGCTATTTACTTGCTTATTTTCCTGACTGAATCTGAATTAAGAAAAAATGAAGTTGCACGTTTTTGGAGGCTTAAAGGAATTTTTCTTTTCTCTGTAGAGAGAGAATGTTTTCCAAGATCTTCAGTTCACTTTCAAAAACTGAAGCTGTTTCCACTGAAAGCAGCAAAAATGGTCTCCTGGATAACAGGCAGTCTGACACCCTTGCTTAGTCTCCCTTTGTTCCTTTCTTGGCATACAGAGATTGGCAGTATGAAGTTTTGTGCACATCTTTTAGTAGTGTCTTCTTGAAATACTTTTGTCTTCAGGACCACTGTACCAGGTTTAGATGAGCTTCTTAAAACTCTTCAGTGTGTGTGCACATGCAAATGGATGAGCAAACAAAAGTTTCTTTTTCTTCATGGTAACTGTTATTGTTACCAGTATCAAACTAACCTCTGCCCCAGGTTCCTCTATACTGACAGACTTGACAGTTGTAGTGAGATTTAGGTTGGTCCTGCTTCATGCTATGCTATTGACAGCTTGAATTACTAGTAATTCTGCAGAGATATGCAGCAGAAAGGCTGCTTAATCCTATCTGATTAACAGCTTCTTTTGGGGGGCCTAGGCATAGTATAGATCCAGTTTATGATCAAGAAACAATGTGAAAAAACAACTTGGAATCTTCAGTCTGTGTTTTTTCCATTACCTGGGGTTTCTGAGAGTTCCAACCTAGAATCTTTTTAGCGTGCTGACACCCTAACCTCAATCACTGCAGAGCTATAATCACGCTTCTTAGGTGGCTCCCTGTCAGCCTGCTTACCTGCAGGCTTACTCACAGCAAACATACACTGGCTGCTTCCACCTAGCCTTTGTCCTCTCTTCCTTACCTCCTCCTTGTCATCGGGTGAAGCTGATGCTGAATTTGTTATTGGCTGTTGTAAGTGGGCTTAGTGAGTCTGATCATATGTACTTTACAGGTAGTTTTGTTTTTTAAGGACGTGTCATTTTAGGGATATAATTGACATTAATACACCGCCTACAAGGAAATACTGTTCTGCTCATACTCTCATCATTGTATGGCTCCGCACTATTCACATTTAAGCATAGCATTCAGTAGGTTGAATGAAAGAATTTCTGCTTTGAGAAGCACATAAAAAGACTGGTCATATCTATCTTGTCCAGGAGCCTCTTCTTTTTTTTTTCAGAATTTTTTAGTTTAAAAAAAAAAAGCATATTGATTCTTAAACTGCATAGTTGTTAACACTATTTATTGCCACCCCAAATGCTATGTATTGTACAACAATCTCTAGTTAGCTTTTTTTGTACCTGTTTTGCATTTGTCACTGAGGAAAATTAGAGCTGGGAAAGCAAGTAGCACCTAGGAAAAATGATTTGCCAAAACCAGTGTTAGCCATGCCATCTTCTACCTAGTTAGAGATGCAGCTTATTGTATCTTACTTTACTTTTCCCTAAGGCTGGCACTATATGGAACTATAGTAGTTGGACTGTAGTTTGTGTTTCTTAATTTTTCTCTCTGATAACTAAGGTATTATAAGCAATAAGTTTTTTTAATAATCTTTATTGTGCTACGTGTTGGAAGAGTAGTTAAATTGAGTGGATTGGGAAGAAGAAACGTTGCAATTATTTCCAAAATAAAGCCGTAATAATGTTTTTTCATATATCTTTAAAGAAAAAAAGTCCTGTAACATTCTAATATGTTTGGCAAACTCTGTTGGGGCTCCGACCTTATGGAAGCAATGTACATTTTCCATGCCCCATTAACGTGCTTTCAATAATAGCAATGCACATGCTTTCTAGAGGTATATTTGTTTCTTGGAATCCAGAAATTCCAGCACTGACCATGCTTCAAAGCCCACTACTGACTGTGTTGTACATACCTAATAATTGCAGTAATCCACTATGCTCTGTATGTAGCTTATGTGGCACAATTCCCTTGTCAGCAGTCCTGGACCGGCATGTGGTCAGGTCCTGGGGTGGTGGTGGATGTGCTTCCAGTGCTGGCAGCACTGCTCCTGTCATCTTATGGAGGGTATGGAAGGGGGGAGGGCCGAGGCAAGAAGACTAGAAGTTATGATCAGGCGAAGAAACTGATTCCAGGGTTTTTGGATACCAGTGAGAAACTGATTTTGATGGAACCGAGTGTCTGTGAACAAGAGCTGACAAGTGGAATTGAAATGGGTGAGACTGAAAAGTTTGGGTAATGCAAGGAAAAGAAGAGAGTTGAGATAAAGAGTTGCCGACAAGTCTTACTACATCACATTGAACTCTTTTTTGAGTCTTTAAAAATTTTAGCATAATTTGTTCTTTAGAGCTCATCAGAGAAAGCAAGTCAGTTAACAGTTAGGAAGCTCTGTAATTTCTTTTCCTAAAGGCTCGTCCTACAACTAAAGATGACACAAAGATAATATTGTTTTGAGATTACTTCACTTACTTTACAAAGTATGCTTCCATATCAAAGTGAAGCGATGTAAAGCTACCATCTTGAATATTTTTTCCTGTGCTGTAGGAAACCTTGGAATAGGTGGACCATTTGGGTCACAGGGTGGTTTGATCACATTAGAAGTTGTGAACCAAGAGAACTTGAATCCAAGATCATATATTGATTTCATATAATAATTTAGGGAGGGATGGGCATACAAGATCACTTAGTCCTTGCCTTTATTCATAGCAGAGCTGGCTTTACAGTTAGGTCAGGGCCTTGTCCAGTGAAATGTTGACTACCTACATGGCTGGAGATTGCAAAACTCCTGTGGACAAACCATTCCAGTGCTTAACTGCTGTCACTGTAAAACATCTGCTTTCTTTTTTTCTCAGTTCTAGTCAGAATTTTTCTTGCTGTAACTTGCAGCTGTTGCTTTTATTCCTTTTGCTCTGCACTTTTCTTCCCTTTTCACTTGCATTGGGGTCTAAAACTGAGCACAATACTCCAGGAAGCAGCCTCATGAAGGCCAAATATAGAGGAATAGTCACCTCCTTTGGATTGCTGGCTATACTCCTGTTCTTAGAATACAGATGTGCTAATTTCACTTGATTGTGGGTCTATTGCTTTTGTTACAGTTTCTGCTATAATTCATGTTTATTTCTCTTGCAAGACATGGATTGGGAATCGAAGACGGAAGTACCGTTTAATGGGGATTGAGGTCCCACCCCCTAGAGGAGGTCCTGCTGATTTCTCTGATCAATCTGAATTTGTTTCTAAATCAGCACTTAATCCAGGAGAGGAAACTGCTACTGAAGTGGGGGATGATAATGATAGGAATGATGAAGTATCAATCTGCTTATCTGAAGGAAGCTCACAAGGTATTTGAAAATGCAGTTACCACTGTGCATGTGTTTTTAATTTTGTACTGTTGCATGCTTTGGATTCTCTGTTGTACACATTCAGAAATGTCTGAAAGAGTGTCGTTTTCTATAGACAGTACTGTTTGGTCTCTTACTTCTCTTTGTGAATGCTGCCAATGTTTATATCACAAAGCTTTCAGAAACTTTCTGTCATAAGATTATTTTTCTGCCAGATTCCTCAGAAGTTAATTAACAAGTTCACAGTTTGCTCGTGCAACTGAGAGGTGAGCAAACAGTACTGGTGGATCAGCCTCCTTTCCCTGGGAAGCTGAGTTTTACAGGTGCTCTCTGGTAACTCACCAGTTCTACTCTGCGAACTTCAACATCAGTTCTGTTAGGGTCACATCAGCAATTTGTGGCTAAAGAAGCACTGATGCGTGTGAAGCTGCTAGCTTGAGGTGACCAGAGCTATGCAGTTATGGTTTCCACAATAAACTCAAAATGATAAGTTCAGAAAATGAATTAGCTCAAACTCTGTCTTAAACTAAAAGAGCTTCAGACTGTGTCAGAGCACAGCAGAACTTGTGCCATTAAGCTGCCTCAGGTGTGTGTATGTGCTTTGACAGGCAGATACAGATCTGCAGTAAGAATCAAAGTCAGTAGCTGGAGACAGTTCAGGAAGCCTTAGAACTGCATCTACAGGGTGCATGTTTGTTCACAGTGAATTCCATGCTCTGGAGTGATAAGTGTCTTGAACTTAATTCCCTTTTACTGCACCTTAAAGAACCGTCTGACCACATGGGACAAACCTCTGCCTTCCCCTCCTGTACACTCATGCTCTGGGCCGAGGGCATAAATTGCCACTCTGCTCCTTTCACCAGTTTTGCAGCCTTGACTAATTGCTCCCAGTGCTTCTGATTAGAAGAGATCAATAAAACTTTTGTTGTCTAAGCTGAAAGAAAGTCTGAACAAGCGTGCAGTATTTCAGTTTCATATGCCAGACTTGATCTTGTCATTTTGTCTGAACAGTTTAAAGAAAGAACTAGAGAGATGGAGAACTGCTGGGAATGAATTTGAGATAGCTTTGTCATAACCTACTATAAAGAGAATAAGATGATTAAGAAATGGGTCAAATGACTGAAAGCCAAGTGAGATGCAGAATCGGAGTCCTTGATTTGCCTGAGGTGTGGAAGGCCCTGATTTAGTCAGATCTGTTTGAGAGAAAGTGGTGATGGGGGAAGAACTTGAGTTTTCTGCAGCTTAAAGCAAAAAATAACACTGCGTGTATTGAACAAGGCTTTCCTACAGCAGAGTGCAGGACTTTGAGCAGATGAGTATAGTCAAAGTGTAAGGAAGTACCAGAAATCTGTGGGGTTTGCATAGCACCCAGGAGTCTCTCTTCCATCCTACCACAAGAATTGTTTCTGCTGACTTCTACAGTTGAAACCAGCAGATTTCACTGCTCGGATTACTGGGAACTTCCTGAAAATAGTCACACCGACCATCATGTACACTGCTCAACCACAGATGTGATTGTTTCAGTATAACTCTCGGTCTTAATTAACAACAACAACAACAACAAAAACAAACAAACAAACAAAAAAAAAACCATAACTCTTAGGATATTTTAAATTGCCGAATTAGAGTGAAAGTGTTGGCATTAGGTTTTAAAAAGTACCACATAAATATTAAAAGATAAAAGAAAAAAGAAGGCTATACTCTCCAAAATCAAGCACTAAGATTCAGACAGTGCCTTGCCTTTTTTAAAGTTAGTGTAAATGAACTCAACGTGGAGGCCACTGAACTATGCCAGTTTATGTTAGCTGAGCATGAACACTTAAAGATTTTAAAGTGCTGCAGGGAGTTGGATTCACTGGTGGAATGAGGAAGTGGTGGCTGCAGGCTGCAGAGCGAGGGGAGCTGTGGGCTGCTGGGGTCCCTGTGAGCAGCACAGGGTGGGTGGTGGTTGCTCCCTGCCTCACGCTTTTCCCATTTGGAACCACTCACTTTTGTTTTAGTAGAGATTTTCCTCTGCAGTGCAGCCGGTGGCAGATTATTTTGCGTTGTTTCAAATCGATTTAACGTTTGTTCAGTATAGAGATATTTACTGGCAGAAAACAATAACTCACCATGGCCTGGCCTGGATGCTATCCATTCTCTGTGAGCGTCAGTAGTCTCCATTTAAATCCTGTTGTTAAGTCCTGTTAGCTCTGCGTGCTTGGAGGAGGTACGCCTTGTCCCACTGCTGCCCCTCTGCCCCTCTCGTGCTGCAGGTGCTGCACAGCACCTGATGCCATGTGTCTCCATCAGCGTTGGCCTCACTGTTCATGCCCTCACTTAGGTTTCTCACCAGAGCACTCTCGTCTCTGTTTCTTATTTATTTGCTGTTTCTCTAAACTGCTTCCTTCAGGTCTTTGAGTTAAATGTGGAGAATTAAAGTAAATCTGAGAAACGCACTTAATCACAGCAATGAGAATATCTTATCTTTTTCTAGCAGAAGTCAGGGCTAATGGAATCATCTTGTGCTGAGATCTAAGGATAAGACTTGCTCTGTTTTCAGGCATGTGCTTCGCTTGTACGCAGAGCAGGCCAAGCCTAGGTCTATTAGAAATAAACAGTTTGCCATACAAGAAGGAAATAATCTACTTGATCACTGTTCTGTTCAAAAGTAGCCAGTGCCTGCAAGTAGGAGGATTCTGATATCTATCCTATAATTACAGTGCATGCTGGATTTTTCATGTATTAATTCCTTAAAAAATGTTCTGGGCACCTCTGACGTGTGAAACACTTCATCATCTTTGAATATTTTAGGAACGTTTTGGTACGTGGCAAGAGAGTAACAGATATTTTTTCTGTCTTTTCCACTAGCAATTGGCATGACTTTGGCCTGAGAAGCTTGTGGTACAATGTCTTCTTTAATGAGACATGGAGTATTATTTTTTGCTTAGCTTCTGATAATGATTTTCATTTTTTGTATCTAGTAGATGTGACGTATTTGGTCACAGGGGCAACTAATATTCCTTAAGCATAAAATTTGAATGAAATCTGAAAAACTCGTTTGTTTTTGCAGAAGAAACAAATGAAGCTCTTCAAAATGAAGAAATTCATCACAAAGATGATGAGCGGAATCCAGTAGCTGCTGATAATGTGGTATGTACACCTGTCCTTTTCCACTGATGTGACTTCCTTTATGTCTAATGTTGAAGTTGCTGTCCAACACCATGTTTTTCACTAGGTAAAATCTTCAGTTGAGTTCTGAGAGTGTATTTTCATATTGTTTGAGTGCTGGAAGAAACTGTACTAAAAGTACTAGAGGAGACAATTATGCACATTCAGTAGAAACTGAATACTGGACATTTTTCCATACTGTAACGGTCCAGTGTCTTTTCCTATAGTGCAAGGTGCAGTGTTTGGGTAGTGCTCTGTTAGTACCTGCTATATTAAAACAGTAAGAATTAGAAAAAAAGTGAAAAATTTTGGTACCTTTAAGGAAGTCAGGTATTGTTAGTGCTTGCTCTTTGTACCTAGCCCTCAGTCTGTGAGATCAGTCCATTCCCTTAATCTCAATAGGACATTATTTAGATGATCATTGTTTTCCCACTTGCATTCACGTTAAGTCAAACACAGTTGTTCTTGCTTTTCTTAATCGACTGCATTGAGACAAGGAAGGAAAGACAGAGGGAGGAGTCATGGCAAATAATGTGATATGTCCCTTTGTTTAGCCTGCCTTCTCTCAGATTAGAAGAAAGGAGAGGAGGAAGAAGAGAGAAGACCCCAAGTGGTAGGGTGATTTTTATCTTAAAAAGTTACTTGGAGAATGAACAGGTCCCAGTTACAGCCGTTGCAGCCAGAGGCTACAGCTCTGATTTTACATTTGTTTTTTTTGTTAATCACACAAACGCTGAAATGGGCTGATGAACAGGAGATTCTTTTTCCTCTACAGGTGTATATATGTGGAGAAGATAACATTTTATTCCTTTTTTATTTCTTTTGATAGTATATGGTCAGCTTTTGGATAAAAAAAATCCCAGGCTGTATGTTCTGTGGCTTGTCTGAATAGAAGCAGCTCCTTTTTCCTTTCTGTTTACCGTAGCAGCCTGCTGTGACCTTAGATATAATCACTCAGGCTGACGTGTTTGCCATGGAGATGCAGAATATAAAATGACAAAGGTAAAAGGTTTGCAAAGGGGATGTCCAAGGGCTCGGTTCTCCACCTAAACTCCAGCATTATATAATTTGATAAGAGGGAAGGGGAGAGGCAAAGATGGCTTTTTTTTTTCACGCTCTGTTTTATTAGAACTGTAACAGTTCTTGAAATGTGTGCTGTTGCAGTTGCACTTAGACTTTGCATAACACTTTTTCTTATTTGAAATTCAGGTCTATTCCTTCCCCCACTATCTTAAAATGTATAGTTATAAGAAAGTCAGTGAACGACTGACATTTATTTAGAAGTTTTTTCCTCAAAAATAATTTCCTCTAACCCCCAAAATATGTAGATCACAGTGTAGCTCAGTGTATGATGCAGCAGCAGATCTTTGTGACATTAAGCCTTTGAAGTGCTGTCATTTCAGCTGGGTTGTCAGACACTGAACAACAGAAAATGTGGTTTCCCCTCCCTCCCTGTGACACATGCCTGTGGGGTAGTGAGAGTGATAGCCAGTCCTTATGGGTAGCTCACGGGGGATGAGAAGGAAGCTTCCAATGGCTGCTCCGTAGGAGGGGGGAAGAAGGCACACACGCAAGCTGTAGTGAAGAAACCTCCTCTAATATAACAGCTTGAGAACGAACCATTAGAATCTATTGTGTCAGTGTGAGTCGTTGCCTATGCTGTATCACATAGTGTACTGAACAGTGGAATGAAACCACTTTGACCTATTATATGCAGTCTCTGTATGCTTTCAACTGCCAAAATAGTGAAAAATAGTAAAACCAACCAAACAAAACAGCCAAAACATCCTTTTCTTACCTGACCACTGCTTCTCTCTCAAAAGTCATTGAGTTATTCTTCTGAATTCTTGGGTAGAAGTGCCAATCTCTTATCATTGTCTAATTCAAAATCATTCCAGCTGATTGAGATCTGATTTAGATGTGAATTAAAAAAAAATGCCGTAAGTTTACTAAAGACACGTAATTTCTGTAGGAGAAAATACAGAATTTATGTTTTGAGTTGATTTTCTCATCTAAGAAGGCTTTTGTGGGGAAGAAAAACACTGCGTGGAAGTTAATACAGTTAAAATTTGTGATTATATGGTATTTCTAAGTCTTGAACAGCATTAATGTTGACCTTAAACATTTAACTTTAGATCTCTTATGAAACTCAATATAAAAAAAAAAAAAAATCCGAGAATTATTAAGATTTAAGGGGAAAAGTCAATGTGTATGAAATTAGAGCTGTCTTCATATGCATTTTAGAGCATTTGACTTGCACCATGACCAAAATAGGCCAAAGGACCTCCTCAGTTCCTTAGGCAAGAAGTAGGTCAGTTTGGACTTGCTTGTCACTTGCTGTAATGTCTTTTTTGTTCCGGAGGAATAAACTGTGATAATCTTTGCTTTCTAGGAAGTCTTCAATGAGCAGCTTATGGAATAAAATGCAGGCTTTTGCGAGCTGTAATGAGATGCAGTGTGTGACTTAATGCCAAAAGCATGGTGACATGTAAACAGCCTGAGTCACCATGGCAGCAGCTCTTGAGCATAGTTTCATTCAATTTCCTCCTGGATCCTGTGGCTGAGGTGCATGATTGCCATCTAATGGTGCTCCACACTTCTAAATTGTTCACAAGCAAGCACCAGGTCCTCTTACCCTCACCCTATCATGTCAGTCTGAGATAGGATTGTTTGTCTGATTACACATTTGCATGTTTGGAATGAGCCATTTACTTCTGTTTCAGAAAATAGAAATTATAGATGATGAAGAAAGTGATATGATAAGTAATTCTGAAGTGGATCAAATGAGTTCTCTTTTGGATTACAAGGTGAGTAATTCAGACTACGAGATGTTTAGCAGGATAGTCCTTCACAGAACGTTCTGACAGGTCTGTCTGTGAGGAATTCAGCAAAGGCGAGAGCCTGGAACTCCTCTGCTCTTACCAGAAAGTCAGAGTGCCACGTGTCATCCCTTCAGTCACATCTCCTCATCCCTCTTAAAGTCAGTTTACCCATATTTCAGTGCAGAGGGAAGCAGGAAAAGTTCCACTTCTACAGAGGAGCTGTGTTACTCTAGCTGTAGCCATCTGCAGCTCCCACCACGTGTCCCAAGACAAATTTATGTAGTATCTAAAACAAAACTTCATCGTTCTGTGCCAAAATTGTTCTTTGGAGTGCTACAGCGTGATTTAAAAAGCAGCATGATGCTGCCAGCTCTGGAAAGGGATGTAACAGCTGAACTCCTCTAATAAAATGGAGGAACTGAGAAATAAATCATTCTAACAATGTAGCACAGAACTTGTCTGTAAGTGGTAGCTGTGGGTTGGAGGAAAATCAGTTGGATATCTGACAGCTGCTGTCTTCTCCCAAATGGCAAAGGTAATATTTGTTACAACTCTCTTACAAGTTGCCACAGCTCTTTATTGTGTACTGAGCACATTTTTATGTAAGTAGCTAATTTTTTTAGTTAGAAACAGGTATGCTCTTCTAATGATAATCAGTTACCAAAATAATGAATAGATCATCTGTTCGAAACAAAAATTACTCCCTCAAGCAGTATTTTCCTGGTAAGGGCAGTACAGAATGAATATGGATAGGGAATGACCTTTTCATAATGTCACCTGTCACCAAACTGAAAGGCTTGTTGTGACAGCATGCCCTACAGAGTCTTGTTTGTTGCTTTGTTGTTTGACATTAGTGATTAGTCTTTCTGGCTTTTGTGCATAAATCTGAATTCCATCTTTGACTGGCCAAAATCCACTGCTACAGAAGCATCTTGTAAGTTTCCATCTAGAAGAAATACATTAAGCTGATTTTCTTATGTAAGCCCCCAAATTGAAGTTTGCTTATGTAACTATTTGCTGCCATCAAAACCAGCCAGCAAGGAACGTTTTATGTGCACCGCTGCCAACCTAATTAGTCTTGTGGCTGCCTAATAAGGGTGGTGCCTTTTTTTTTTTTAATTCTCTCTTCCATTTGTTTTCAAAAGGGAATATTCTGCTACATTATTTGACCTTCTGTCCAAAAACTCTTCATTATTTTATTGGAAAATGAGACCTATATAAAATGGCTTCATAGTAGAATCTCATATCTGGATTACCATAAGACATTTGATTGTACTTCTAAAGGCATTCACTGGAAGTTTTTCCCTTTTCCCCTTCTTTCTTCCAGCTATGTACTCTATAGCAGGGATTTAGGCTTACAGAAAAGCTAGACTGTGGATTACAGGCGAGGTCTTGTGCAACAGGATGTGCAGTATGTGAGAACACAGTTTTGCCATGGAACAATCTTCATTAAACTTCAGCTTAGAATTTACTCAGGGTTGTCTGTATTAAATTGTTATCTTCCATTTTCTTCTCTCAGATATCCCCTGGTAAACGCAGCATTTGCCATGAAATCTCTATGAACCTACATGCTTACTTTGCGTGTATCATGTGTAATCTTAATTCTATACAGTCATAATTCTAATGGGTATTTTTATCATTATTATTTTACAGAGGGTGTGCATTTGGTGCCACTATGCAGATATCTTTTTGCAATAATGCACAATGATTTTGTTCCTTAAAGGTGAACTGCGTGTTTAGGTTATGTGATCTTCCCAAAGGTTAATAACTAGAGAAGATTAATTTTGGTTGCTCAATAGATAAATTTAGTGTTTGGATCTTACATACCAACCAGTTGGTGAGTTTAAGGGAGAAGAGCTACTTGAAATATGCTGAAGTGTGTATCAGTCTAAATTTTTAATCCAGGTGTTTGTTATTTCTGTATTACGAAAGTGATTTGCAGGTACAGTGACATCAGTTTACATACAAAGCTTGGAAAAGCCTTCCAACTCCAACAATTTTATGACTCTATGAAATGTCTCTTTATTCACTGTATACATTACTAATATTTCTCTATTCTTATAAATACATTCTTATTTATTCATTAACCTCAGAGATCCTGGGGAGGTTGATAAGCTTCTGCTCTGCAGCACACAGCAAATTTGGCTGTTGTAGGGATGCTGTGTTTTAACAACGAATCCTCAAGTTAGTTTCCGTGGCCTTAGTGTCAGACCTCCTGCTGTAGTGATGAACTGAGTTGTTGCTCCGTGTCGTGGGTCAGCCTGCCTTTTCAAGATCATCTCTTCTGGGAAGAGACCTAGGCTCCATTTTTCTTTATTTTAAAATGGAAGTGCTGCCTTTAAGTTTATGTACTTAGGCTTAAGTCGTTCGTTCTTTAATGACTGTCTGTGTGGAACCTCTTTGGCCATTCCAGTCCTCTTTTGGAGGAGAATGAGAAAGCAGATGGCACGTGTGTGTAGGTTTAGGGCGATGCTCCTGGTGGTCCATCAGGAACCTCTGTTTGTATCGAATGTCTACATGCTACGTTCAAGAATTCTAGTACTGGTTTTGGCAGGAATCACAACATGCTGATTTACTTCTTTACACACAAAAAAGTTTGAAGTACTAGTATGTACTAAAGTGATGCAGTATAGTTTATTACTTGCAAAACTGTATGCAATTTTCCCCCTCAGAATGAAGAAGTCAGATTCATTGAAAATGAGTTGGAGAATCACAAACAGAAGTATTTTGAACTGCAGACGTTTACACGGAGTTTGATACTTGCTATTAAATCAGATGATAAGGAACAGCAGCAGGTGAGTGTCAAAGCAGATTTTAATAATGGGGGTACATGTCCTGTTGTGTTCTGTCATCTCCTTATTTTTATTCTGTAGAGCCCAGAAGCTCAAACTGTGATTAGGGACAGCAATGTGCAGAACATCTTGCAAAGAAAAGTTGGAAGTTAAATAAAAGATCTCACAATTTAGATGAGCAATGACATTAAACATTGTTCCTTTCACCAAAAGGCAAGCAGCGCAACACTGAGCAAGTTGGATTTGTCTGTTGTGAGGCCCAAGGTGGATATAGGAAAAAAAGCCAGGCTTCAGTTTTACCACGCTGCATTTAATGCATAGCACTTCCTTAAGAACTTTGTCAGATCATGTCTTGTATCTGGGTTTTTTTGGACAGATTTTGGTTGCCTCTCCTTTTTCCTTTCCCCTTTAGAGTCTGCAGTCTTTCAGGTGTAAAAATTGGAACTATAACTTGCAAGAAAAAAACTTAGAACACTTTTAATTCTGAAACAAATTTTGGCTTCTAGTTTTTTCATAATTTTTTCGTAAAACCGTGTGAACTAAGCTTTAAAAAAAAAAAAAGTGAACTCGAATCTTTAGAGGTAATTAACAACTGTAATGATCCCGTGTGCAGCATCTGGTTCTTTCTAATGCACATTCTCTGTGTAGCACAACTGTAGATATAGTGAAGCTTTTGTGCGTTCACGGTGACCAATAAAAGAAATGGGTGTAGGTCATTTGATCTCATCCAGTCTGGGGAAGAATGTTTTGAGTTGCTTCCAGAATACCTGAAAGACCCTGTGGGACTGTTGGTCTAAGTTGCATCATCTCGGTCAGTGTTTTTCTTCTCAATATCTGTCAGTACCGATCTGTGGAGGTTTGTTTGTTTTCAGTCTGTCCAATGTGAAAACTGACCAAAAAGCTCAACAAAGTGGTGGTGTTTTGTTGTGTTCTTTTTGTTTTTTAACTATATGTTTAAATTACATTAATTGCTGATGTGGAAGATAAACCTAAGACTGCATTGTAATACTTCTTTTAATTATAGGCACTGCTCTCAGACTTACCTCCTGAATTAGAAGAAATGGATTTCAATCACACATCACCAGAGCCTGATGATACCTCATTCAGCTTGTCGTCTTTATCGGAGAAAAATGCCTCAGACAGTTTGTGATTTTACTTCATTTTTTTAATTATTTCTAATTGACAGGAAGAAACTTCACATAATGTGTAGGTTTCAAGAGGACAGCATTTTGCTGTACAGTGTTCTTCAACCCAAAAAGGAAAAGCCCGAGGTGAAGTAGACCTCCCTGAAGAATGACTATAGTACATAGTGGCTGCAGTTTGCAATGTCAAGAAATGTTGAGTGTTGTTTCTGCTAAATGAAAGAACTGTGTGAGGAAACGTTTCACTTTTAGCAGTTTGGCCTTGATTAGCATAACTTCTGACTTTCCAAAATAACACTTGCTCTGTAGCAAAGACTTTTTGAGCAGGGATCCAAGAGTGGAAAACAAATGTCCTGTTACACAAATAGCCAGTTTTTCAGAGTTGCTTGCTCACTATTCCTGGTTTTAATTTTTTCCTAATTTTGACTCAGGTAGGTGGACTAAAAATTGAGAATCCAAATAGAATAATGAGCTTTTTTGAGTTGTGCTTGAACTCTTTGCAGATCTGAAATTAAACTAAAGTGTGTTTCGTCACATGACTTCAGATTGTTTAATCTTAACATTTTGTGACCAAAACAATGGAAAACACTTTAAAAGGCTAACTGAATAATTCAAATCATCACCGAACTGTTGATGTACAGAATCTGTCTGTAAGCAGTTCGCCCATGAGATCATATGGGAAACCTGGTAGCTGCACTGTGTGACTTTTCCTGAGACTCTCACAACAGCAGTGGGTTAAACAGGTTCACATGCAGTTTTATGATTCTATGAATGTAGTTATCTTTTTTTATTTGTAGAGGTGTAGTGCTGAAGTTCTGTTCATTGTTTTAAGTACCACCTATATACTTTTAACAAACCTTACTCCCTTTTATCAAGACGCTCTCTTAAATCCGTTATGCCCTGAAAGGCATTGAAGTGTTTAGAATTGAGCATTACAGACTTCCTACATGTGACCTGGTTTTGAAGTAGCCTTGTCTGACAAGTTTTTTTTGGCACTACCACGTCACAGTTGTCATTTTCAAACCGTGAGCTTGATTGCAGGCAGTGGCTGGAATGAGTTTCTGCTTTCCCAGCTGTTGGTCGCATTGAATCCCTTTCCTCATCTGAATAAATGGATGTGCAGACACATTCGGATGAATTTAATGGGGTTTGTAAGTGCGTGCCCATGTTATTAATGCTCTATATCTTCTAATCTGTATATTCCTCAACAAGCATTTTCAAAACCTACTTTCACACTTTGTTAAAAAGCCCGATCTTTCAATTTTACACTGAGTCATAATACAGTCTGGCGAGTCTCTGTTTGTGCAGTGCAGTAAGTAATCCCATTGATTTCAGTGTAGGTCCTAGGTGAGGCTCACAAAATTCAGGAGTGGTGGCACGTAGGAGATGACCCAGAACATTCTTTTCTTTAATACTGGGATTAACTCACTAATGATTTCAGGTTTTCTCCATCTGGTCCTGCCTCATCACTCCTGCAGATTTTGTATTCTTAGGATCTGTGCTGAGCTCTGTTCTGCCATCTTTTTTTCCCAGTGTTGTACTTGGGCATGCGGGATTTTTTACAGTATTGCTAAGTGCCAGTTGCATAAAGATTTAAAAAAAAAAAAAAAAAAAAAAGTTTCACGGTTCTGAAATTCTGATTACCATATAATAAGGTTAGTATGTAGTCCTCAAAAAACCTCTTACAGAGTAACCCCACAAATGGAAGCTGTTAGGCCTGCACTTAAGCTAATGTCTTAACTCAATAATAGCATCCCGAGAGAGAGAGGAGGCACTGTGTAAGCTGTGTGTGAGCTGTGGGCTGCTCACACGCTCACTGCCTCCACTGAAGTATCACACCCTGGCTGGGAGGTGAATGCTGATATCTCAAAGGAGGAGCTTTATTTCATGTGCCTGATGAAATGACCACCGGGTTAGAAGTAATTTAGGTTTGTTAGCAAAGTTCACAGCGCTAGCCTTCAAATGTAAGGAGGAGTTCAACTGTAATTCTGCTCACTCTGAAAAAAAATCTTTTACAAAGGGTTTTCTGTACTTAGTTAACAATACTCTCTGATACTGTTCTCTCTAGATAGGAAATTTCTGCCACTGACAATGAAACCTCTGTGAGCTTTGCTATAATTTAAAAAAAGGAAAAAAAAAAAAAGTTATTTACCATTATTTGGACCCTATTTTCCTGCTGCTTTTGCTTGAATTCCCAATGCAAACGGCAGGATAGACTTGATTTCACAGTCAGTTAAATTATCCACTTTTCTACAAGAAAATTTTAATTGATAATATCTCATATTTGCTCTGTTTTGCTTTTATTTGATGTGCCAAACAAGTGGAAGGAATTACTTTTGAATGAACTACTGTCAGATTCAAGCACTTATGCAAGTCCCTTTGCTAAAGGGACTGGAACTGCTGTTAAGGAAGTGCAGCTAGAACTCTGGCTGCAGTCAGCACCCACACATTGTGCCTCTGGGCATGTGGTTCTTTGGTCCCCTTCTTCTGCATGATGACAAGGCAAAACATAGCACAGTAGTCCTGTTTTCATACCCTGAAACATTTGGCAATATTACAGCAATTCAGAAAGAAGGTGTGTAAATGATATTCCTGTATAACAGAATACAGGGGATAATAATGTACAGCTGCTTGTTCAGGTGTTTTGTTTTTCGGTATCAGTGTGTATTTCCTGTCATAGGTAAAACAAAAATCTGAATGACATTTTGCCACTGCTGGTTTTTTTTTTTCATATTGCAGCAAGAATAGTTTTGCAGTGCAGTGGTTGGAAAGCTACACACTTGCTTGGAGGCTCTGTAACATAAAACATAACGATCCCTGAGAATTAAACGCAGTACGTATCTAAGTCGTGCAGATCAGACCAGCAGCACGCATGCTTTATGGCTTTGTGATTTTTTTTCTTTGCCTGTGTCCCTGACAGACAAGTTTCTACACAAACGTTCTGCTCAAATTATGTCCAAATCCAGATATCCTGCATCTAACTGGGCCTTAGAACAGTGTGAGGAAGTTTGGCATTGTTGCCATCCATTTTCCTGGCCAACTTTGTCTTAGCAGTTGTGCTGACAAGCATCAGATTCTAATACAAGGGTCACCGGGATACTCATTTCTGCTCTGAAGGTGCTTTAGAAGATGGAAAATTATAGGTGATAGCTGTCTGTGCCCAGGACTTTGCTTAGGGTTTTGGTTTGTGTTTACTGCCTCTGATCAGTGGATGACCACAGAACACATCTGTATAGACTGTAATGACAGAGAAAGCTAATATTGTGTTGTGTCATGATGAAAGAAATAAGCCTTCCTTTACTATCTCACTGATAGTGACAGCAGCAGACGTGCCAGGTATTGATGTTCTCATCGTCTTTCTGCTAAGGCTCTCATTTGCTTTGTCCATGGAAGATGACTTTGCAGGTGTTCTTTATTCCTAATGCATCTGTAGGAGTATGAATGATTAAGTATGTCTTTCTGAAGAAGGCAAAGTGGAAGAAGGTAGTTCTTAGGCACTTAGAAACAGGACGCTCTCCCTTCCTTAGGGAGCACTGAAATTCTTTGATGCTAGCAAGCTTGCTTATACTTCAGAAAGCTGTTTCCTGAAGCTATGCCTCTTTTCATTTCCCTGCAGATGATGCTTCTGTCAAGTCTTTAGATCTGGCAGGAGTGAGTAATAGTAAATATTCTAATAGGTAAATTTTGGCAGATTTAAAACTACGTGAACAGATGTACTATACAAGTGTCAATTTTCTTCAGTACTTAGTTCTTGAAGCAACACTGCACTTTAATCTTTCCAAGTATTTCTTTTTTGCTAAGGCAATAGAAAGTCTGAAAATGACAAGCAGATCATGGACTTTGCAGTCTCTGAGGAAGAGAAAAGGAATGTATAACTTACAACTTCATCTTCTAAACTCGGGAAGCAGTCATCAGGTCTGCTCACCAAACAGAGGCAGCAATATCTACTGTTGTTGATACAGAGTTGAAATGATAGGACAAATCAACTGTATCATAGCGTCTTTACTGTAGAAATTACTGCTCAGAATTCATCAGCTATCTGCTTTGGGGTCTCTGTAGCACTGCCCTGTTAGTGATGTTGAAGATGATAATGCACAGCACTAATTTTTCCAGAGGTACTGTAGTCGTAGCTGACTGTTGGTCTCAGGATAGTGACAGAAGACAAAGATAATATGCATAAATGGAATAGCACACAGAATATCTGAACCATGAAGAATGAGCAATTTGTAATGTTGCAACCAAAAGCTTAATTTACTACCTCCAGTCCTGCTGCCCAGATCCTTCAGATCAGCTGGGAACTACGAGGCTGCTTTATGCATGGGGGGACTGGCAGCTGCCTGACATTCAGCCTTCATTTCAGGACTCTGCCTTTTCTGCCCCATGAGCACGTTGGCCAAGTGGTACCACAGAGCTCTTTCAGTGGTAGAGTAGGGTTCTACTCTTGGCTAAGGAGTGTTTGTAAGATGGTGGCTGACACGGTGGTCAGAAGACAGCAGGTGTAAAAGGGGCAGAATCAGAAGCTCGGGCTAGTGGTGGTGGTGGGTGTTGTTTGTAGACAAAGCAGCATTCGTTCTCAATAAAAGATGCTTAAGAATGTCTCCATGAGGAAAATGGTTTCAGGTCAGAGCTTTGGTTACGGTGAACGTTTTACTGTATTACTGAATGAAGTAAATATTTTCCAGTTCTGTATTTCATTTTACACACGCTACCTCTGAAACGTAACACCACCTTTAAAACCACACAGAAAATGTGAATTAAAAAATAAAATAAAAAAGCTTTTATAGGCAATAAATTATTTCCAACACACATCCTCCAATTCTGTGCCTGTTTTTTAGTTGTGTGAAACATTCAGTTTGTTTTTTGTTCTGGTACTATTTCATGTATTTGTCTCAATCTGTGGACAGGGAAATAATGAAGATGTGATGTTTGGGAAAAAAAGATTAGCGTATGTTAATGGTAGTGAATATTTCTATTGATGCTCAAGGATGGTACAGTAAATTTTTGCAGTTTTTGGTACAGCTATTATAAGAAATGAATATTATACTTAGAAATAGCCTGGTACCAAATGACCGATGCGATGTTTCTTAATGCACCATAGGTGAATCGATCAGCGGGGTTGGTCGGATAGTGAGTCTCAGCAATGTGGTGAACAGGGACAGGATTTTATTTTTTCTGAGGTACGACATCTTGAAAGAACACTCTCATATGTTAGTTTCTGGTATCTCTTCATTTTCTGTTGATTTTTTTTGCAGTGACCATGTGTATAAAAACCTATAGGAACAATTTTGATTTGCTTGTAAGCAAGTGTGACATTAAAATGAGTCAGGGGCAAGTACAGCTCCCATGTAAACGCAGGCCATTTTTGGGTAGCAAAAAGCAGCAAGTCCCAGTCATTTCCCCCACGTCTGCCTGTGCCTATGAACCAATGCGCCTTGGAGCCGTGGGTGGGCAGGGAGGTGCGGGGCGCCAAGGCGGCCGTGGGGCTGCGGCAGGGGCTGTGGGGGCTCCTAAGGACTGAAACAAAGGGAGGTGTTCCACACCTCGGGCAGCCCGAGCTTCTGCATCGTCTCAGACTTTGTGAAGGGCAGCGTATGAAGTCGTGGCAGAATCGGCTGAGTTGTGTGTGGGAAGAACATTGCTCACTGGTGGGCATGGCACAGTGTGTATGAGTTCTAGAACTGCTGAGTGTGTGTGTGCAGGTGGAACAAGCACGGCAACGTGAGCGCCTACAGTGCGCGTAGAAATACTTCACTTGAGCTCATTCGTGTAGGTCTTACTGCATTGATTACATAGTTCTGTACATCTGTGTAAGTACAGATTGCAGTCCAGCAGCAAAACTGGTAGCGGTTAGGATTGGAAGTTAGCTAAAAAGTCCTCAGTAGTGATACTTGTAATCGTGGCATATAAATGAACTGCTGTATTTATGAAGAGGTAGTGAATCTTCTGCCACGATAATTTCTGTTTTAATTTCACAGGAGCTGTTAGTTTGATTTAATGTTTCTTTGGAAAGTCTAAACGTTAATCTATACCTTCAGTGTTTTCATTAGCCAACAGAAAGCAATCTTAAAACAAGGATGGTTTCCTTCTGGGCAGATCTGCCAAGGCTTATAACCCGAGTGGCTCAGTGAATCTGTGACATGTCAGTATTTATATTGCATTTCTATTATTTGTATCAGTATGTGTAGCAAAGAAAATACTATAAATCTTGACCTGATGTACCTCCGCTGCAGTCCAGGACGTTTGATCTTGGCTTATTTGAGAGATGGATGCCTAGTGAAATATTCCATGCATTTATATTGATTTTTCCATGTTGTTGTTCTGTATATATAAGGGTATTTATAGTTCTGTATTAACAGAGATGCTCATTTCCTTCTTCAGAAGCCTGCTCAGCTATTTTTATATAAAATGTGGTCTTTGCCTTAATTTTTTTGTGAAAGTTGTGCCATAGATATTTTAACTTATCCTCAGATAGTTTATGGAATTTGCTTTCAAATGTCTTTGGTTAATTATTTTTTTCCTGAAACTGTCCTAAATTGCTTTCTCCTCCAAGTGTACGATGAGATTTTTTTTCTTCTTAATTTTGATTTTGTTCTATTTGGAAGATACCCCGTGTGCATGCTTCGGTTAGAGCCAGCTTCTCCTCTGTAGCTTATTGTTTCTAGTTAGAAATCCTTCCACTGAAAAAGAAAGAAATGAAGTAATGCTTGTACAAATGTATCTATAGTGCCCAGACGGTCAGAGCAAAGGGCTATTTAGCGTTGGTAACTTTGTCTACTAGACTCAAGGATATTTTTCTACGTCTGTCAAGTTTGGGACTATGGCAAAATGAAATAAAGGTGAACTAACTCCTTTTCCTACACGACGTTCTCTGTGTGTTTGTCACCTGAACACCCACGTGTGTAAACCTGGACGCTGTTATTCCTGGCACCTCCTCCCTCACCAACATCTGTGTGTGCAGCTCCGTGTTGTGATAGCGAGAACCCAAAAAGGCACCAATGAATGATTTTTGTGGTAAGATTCTGTTTGCAGGTGTCAGCTGTAAGAAAGTCAGTAACTTCTTACTGAGTAAAAGTTGCTCTAGTGAGGCTTGTATTGCTTTTTTCAAACAGCATCAGAGCAGGCGCGTGCACTTCTGTAGCTCAGCTCACTGCATCTTAGGCGACAGGAACTCGGCAGACTGAAGCCGCTGGCAGTTCCTGCTTAGACTTGAGCCTTACTTGGGACAGATGCAAGTTCAGCAGGCGCTGTGCAATCAGTAGCTGCGTACTGTGCTAGGTGGCAAAAGGTTATATATAGTTTATTTTAAAGTAGTTTTCCGCTGCTTTCACAGTCTTCTGTGTTTATAAGAAGAGATTTGAAAGCAGGACAGCGAGAGAACCCATTCAGCTGCAGCCCGCAGGTGGGAGCCGCGCTCAGCAGCCTGCTCGGCTTGTCTCGCGGTGCTGCCAGGTGGCAGCAGAGCTCCGGCCGCTGCGCTGTGTGGGCGCGCACGTGCTCACCTCATTTTTCTGTCTTTAAAGCTCAGTTCTGTATAAACGCGATTACCAGCAACATCTGTGTAAATGAAAACTAAAAATTCGGAACCTTCTAAAGTCGACTGACTTCATCCGGAACGCGGCGTTAAGACCCAGTCCGACCTCAGAAGCCTTTGGAAGGATATGGCTCCGCATAGAAAAGGGCAAACAAAGCCGCTGGGGCAGAGGGGCTGTGCCACACATTTCTGGACGCTGTGAGCCGCGGCCCGGTGTGCAGGGATGGGTCGTGTGGGGAGGATGCGGAGCGGATTTTGAAAGTCGGAAAAGCAGACAAATGAAAAGGAGGAAAATATGTTTGGCAATGAAGGGTCGGTGGGTGGGCGACACTGACATAGGATTTTTTTTATTTTTTGGAAGAGGAGGTGGGAAATAAAAGTTGACCCGGGGATGCTGACTGTGGTTGTATTGCCACCTGGTGGCAGAAAACTCCCAGGAATTGGGGGAAAATGCCTTCAGCTGTTCGTTTCACAATGCTTTTTATTTAAACAGTAAATAAATGCTTGATTCCACAGTTTTGATAGTGCTTTCAGAAACCAAGAGACAGGTCGGACAGCGTGCAGCCTTACCTCTGTCCTATTCCCACCTGGCAGTTCTGCTCTGCAACACAAGTCTGTGTGTCATTATAGAGAAAAGGGTTTGGTGGGCAGCGCTGTATCTTCAGGTTTTGCTACTTCTAATTTCTCATAAGCACCAGTAGCTGTTCAGCAGTGTGTGAAAGTAACCAGAACAGCCCTACTTCACATTTTGAAATCCAGTGCTGTGCAGAAATAGCAATAAATAGGATTTTCAGGGTACTGTCTGAAGAGTCTTGATATTGATATTTATGCAGAGCCAAGAAACAAAGAGCAAGCTTTTGTGTGTATCGGGTGAGCCATATTTCCTGGATCTGTTCAAACCTGAAGGAAACAGTTCTCAGAAATTAAAATGAAGCATCCAGGGACTTGCAATATGATGCTGAGCCCTCCAGCTATTCTGTATTCTTTCCTGTCTGAACATTGTGTTTCTACATGAAATACCTGCAAAGGAAATGTGATCAGAAAGAAGGCACAATATTGTCTGCAGCCATCTGAGGAATCTCTGTGTGTTGTGTGGGTACAACAAGCTGGCTGTAACCAAGGAAGAGGTCTGGAAAACTTGTGTAAATGCTGGCCTTCAGCAGAGGGATGCTTTTCCACAGGGAAAGGGAAAGGTGTAGGTGCCCAGGGAGCTGCTCCAGAAGGTGATGCTTTGAAGCTGTGGCCGTGATGCCAGGTGCTGCTCAGGAAGGTAAAAGCCTCCCCACAGCCTCTTGTGCCACCCTCTGGCAAATGGGCCTCTTGCTTTGTGCTGCTGCTAAGCAGAATCTCCTGTGGACGTGGGCTGTGCTGTCTTTGCTCCTTTTCATGTGGCTGAACAGAACACACGAAGGCTTTTAAATACTGGTTTGTCCTCCTGTAGGAGCTTCATCCACCAGGCAGCGGGCAAGAAACATTAGAAAGAAACCGTTTCCTGGTGTTTACTTACAGTTCCTTGTTTCATTTTAGTAGGGAAGAAAGGATGAGGGAAGAGGAGGCAGTGTTGTTTCTCCCGAAGAGAACTGAGCATTTTGGCCCTTATCATTTTATCTGAATTTTTTGGCTGTTTTTCACCAGAAATCTGAACAATCTTGGATGGAATATGCGACTATTTTTCACTTAAAAAAAAAAAAATTGCATTAGAAATTTTTTTAAAAAAGGAAGGCTTTTCCTGCTCCCTGCCTTCCTGCAAGTCTGTGCTCCTTTCTGTTCAATGTGAAATTCAGTGGAAGGTCTGTTATCTCTTCCTTCACAAGTGTTTTGGGTACAGCTGGCCTCAGAACAGGGACAGGGGAGTGGGAGGGATCCTGTGCTGGCACTTGATAGAAGCAGTGCTGTCTTTTGGCCTGGAAGGCCTTGGAAACAAAAATGCACTGTTAGTATTTGGGCACGAGGCCAGCCGCATCATCTGCCTCCTCCTGAAGGGAAGCACTATTTCAGGGTGAGAGGAGCTGTGCGTAAAGCCCTAACCCAGAAAACAGCATCGCTCCCTGCATTTCATCTCTCATGTCTGTGCAAATCAAACAGGAGGTAAATCCTGCTGCCCGGCCTGCTGGCTCCTTGCTGCTCCTTCGCCACTTAGCAGTTACGCAGGGAGCTCTCGGACACACAGCACGCAGAGGCACGAGAGCAGCAAGGCCCAGCAGGCGACCACTTCTTGCTCTGTCAGATTTGCAAAGCCATCGTAACAAACTCCCTGAGATGGTGGGCCTTATTTCCCATAATAGCGAGTAAATGGCTCGCAGTGATCTCAACTATGAACACGCTTCATGAATTCTGCCAGAAATTTAATATTGAATTATTTCTTTATGCCCACATGTCTTTCCTGGTTTTCTTAATTCTGCCCAATATTTAGCTCAGCAATCTCTTCTCTCACAACCCACACTCTCCTAGCTACATAATCCCATTTTTGGACCGTTATTTAAAATATCAGCATTTTCACAGAGCTGGACAAAGAAACAAAACTGATCTGAGAGGAATAAAACAAACAGACTCGGTCAGCTCTTATCTGTGCATCAAGTTGCTCACGGCTCACACCAAATTTGGACTAGCAGACCACAGGGCTTGGGCCTGCACTAAGGAAACCTGTGCACACCATTAACCTTCCTCACAGCCCACTGAGCCCGGTCCTGGCTGTCCCCAGCCGGCTGCACAGACCCACTGCTTACCCTTCTTTATTTGCAGAGAAAGCTCAGTGTGCTCTTTTCCACTCAGCTCTGTGTGAAGTTGGGGAATCAGAGTAAGGGGCCGGTGACCATCTCTGTATCAGAGGCAGACTCCCTTCTGGTATACCTTCTGCCTCCCAGCTGAGCTCAGGGCTGTAAGAAATGAGCAGAAATGCTGTTTTGTGCCCCACAGTCACACTTCAAAACTACGGCTTTCTGATTGCAGTTTTGTTGAGATGTTAATTTATCTATATTATAAAACTCCCAGTGCTGCCCTGAAAATGTCATCTCTTGCTGACGTCAGTGGGCTATGAGCTCACTCACTGCCCGCTATGAGCTGTTTCCTCATTGGGAAATAGGACAAACACACGTGACTTGATTTTCAGAGTATGTGTTTCTTATTTGTCTGAATGACGTCAGTAGAGAAAATGTGAGTAAATAATGCTTAGTGATTTGCTTTGGTTTGATTGCTGAACAATCAGGTAATGAAATAATAAAGAATTTCTTCCTCTTTGTACCTCTTACTCCTTCCAACTGAAGAAGCCAGCCATGGCGTCACACTGAGCACTCGCTGCAGCTGCTCACTCCGTGCCCATTGCCCTGTGGTTGCAGCCCTGGCCATGGCTGAGAGTGGGCAGCTGGGGGTTGGCAGAGCCCCGCATCCCCCAAGGATGGGGACAGCAGCACCACCAGCTGCTCGCTACTCCCACGCCGAAGCAGTGTGTTGATTCACTTTGTAATTGATTTGGGCAACTTGAAGCAATTGGTTTCCAAGATACCACATCCTTCAGATATTTAAAAAATGTTAACTCTGGCAGTATATTATATTTAAATGTCGATGTATAATGTGTGTGTGTATATATATGCACACTCATAGGTCTCTGTGTGAATTGGAAATGTGTACAAGGGAAGGGAAGCATGTGCATCTGTTGCATCTCACCCAAGGAGGCTGCTGGGTGGAGCCCAGCATCCAAGGAGGTTCAGTGGGTGACACCTCTCTGAGTCACTGTGCTGTCAGCATTGCAGCACGGCCTTCGAGTTGCTGCTTTATCTCCTGGGCTGACTTTGTTGTGCATAGCTCAAGTTAACATCCTGACCACATGCAGTTATTCAAGAGCAATTTCAGATTTTTCATAAAAATAAAGGGGCAGTGACCAACTCCCCCTTGGCAAAGTTATTTGCCATTTCTGTGGGAAGCATTGCTGTTCTCATCATCACTTCCTCGCCTGGCACCTCTTCAGAGCTGGGGGGTCACTGTCTGGCCACCATAGCTCTCCTGGTGCTGGTTACTGCCTTTCAGTGGTGCTGGGATGGCCTCCCACCTCAACTGGTGTGCCAAAGTGATTTAGATGTGGTTGTGGGGGTGCAGTCACTCCTCAGGCTGGCTCTGCCGCTGGAGGAGCTAGGACAAAGTTCTGAGGAAGGGAGATCTTTGGTGCCCACTTGGAGATTCTCATAGAGGAGCTGCCCTTTTTGAAATCTGGAGGTCTGGCATGAGCAAATCTCAGGCAATGCAGAACTGCCTTATTCTGAGGCAAAGATGAGGTGTACGATGTATGGAGAATGGAGATAAAACAAAGGGTGGTGGCCATCATGATTTAGG